AAAAATCATATCCAGGGGCATGTCAGCTGAAGACCTTAAAGCACAGACATGTTGCTTCTCCCAGTTAATGCTTTCCCCAATTTCTTTACTCTTTATTGGGGCAAAATTTGAAGACTTTGTTGTGCCAACTACAGTCAATCTGGGGCAATCACGTCGAGATTTGATGAATTCCTCTAAGAGTTTGAAGACACCAGAGCATGGTGAATGCCGGGTCTTTTGTAAAATCCTCTTGAGACGATTTCTCCTTACCAACCATATAGCTTGGGGCATTTTAGAAGTGAAGTTATTCGCAAGAATTGTCGTGCAACATGCAGCTTATCAGCAGTAAACTTGGGGCATCCAAAATTAATCCCAGGGGCAATCCAGATTTGTCAAGATATGTTTTTCATACATTATCAGAGGGTGGTGTTCCCAGTATCTCCAGCTAAGCAAGACTTCTTTCCAGCTGAAACTTTGTTTGTATTGTTATCCTTTCAATGGATTGTTTGCAATAGAAGACTGGACTTTGGGTTTTCTACCTGAAAATATCTTCCTCTCCAGAGATATTTAAGCCTTGTAAAAGGACCTTGCTCCAATGATGGCATGTGTTTTATCTCCAGTAATGTTCCCATCCTGTTGAGATTAGCCGAGTGTTGGGTTGTGCTATGATGTCTTATCATCTCCAGTTTATCTTGTCTATTTGTTTTGTCAGCACATACATGGCACTCATTTATTCGTTCACACTTGCATCATGCACGCACAGTTGTATTTGTTGATGTCATTGAGTTCGTATACCTTGGTTATGTCTATTCAAATAACATATTTGATCTTTCCAAATAGAGTGTCAACTTAAGCATAAAGTGTGCCTTTTTTCTAATTCCCCACTGAGTTAACTCTCGTGGAAGAATCTTTCTTTAGCTTTCCTTTTCCATCTCTGGATAGGATAAATCCCCATTTGAGTTGTTTCCTCATTGGGTGGAGTCTTGTTTGACTATTTTCTCTCCAGTTTATTCCTGGATTGAGCTTTGTCTCTTGTGAATGATACCCTGTGGATCTCTCTAGGCTGTGAAACCTAGATGGAGAGTGCATTTATTTTGCAACGTAAATACTTGGTCTCCTCAAGAAGGATTTATTCATGGTTCCCCATTGAAGATGAACTTTATTCCCCAGCAGTGTTATCACAACCTTCTTCTGGAATATCGACATGACAACAAGCGACTGACTCTTTATTTGAGCAGTTTGATTATTTCTGATTTCTCTACGACAAATGGCGGTCTCCTCATGAGCAGTTTGTCCATCCTCGATGAAATTATTGATTCTCACCTCCAGCAATATCTTCATGATATTTTATGGGTATCTTTGAGAAAACAGCAAGCGGCAGTCTCTTCATGGACAACTTGTATGTTATCAACACTTTTAAAAATAGCAAGCGGCAGTCTCTTCATGAGCAACTTGTATGTTATTGATACATTTGAAAAAAACAGCAAGCAGTGGTCTCTTCATGAGCAACTTGTATGTTATTGATACCTTTGAAAAAACAGCAAGCGGCGGACTCTTCATGAGTAGCTTGTGTGCTTTAATATTCTTTGAAGATGGCGAGTGGTAGCTCTTCATGAGCAACTTATGGGTTATTGGCAACAAGTGGCGGACTCTTCATGATTAGCTTGTGTGCTTTGATATTCTTTGAAGACAGCAAGTGGCAGCTCTTCATGAGCAGCTTGCGGGTTATAAGCAACAAGTGGCGGACTCTTCATGAGTAGCTTGTGTGCTTTGATATTCTTTGAAGACAGCAAGTGGCAGCTCTTCATGAGCAGCTTGTGGGTTCTAAGCAACAAGTGGCGGATTCTTCATGAGTAGCTTGTGTGCTTTAATATTCTTTGAAGGCGGCAAGTGGCAGCTCTTCATGAGCAGCTTGTGGGTTATAAGCAACAAGTGGCGGACTCTTCATGAGTAGCTTGTGTGCTTTGATATTCTTTGAAGACGGAAAGTGGCAGCTCTTCATGAGCAGCTTGTGGGTTATAAGCAACAAGTGGCGGCTCTTCATGAGCAGCTTGTGGGTTATAAGCAACAAGTGGCGGACTCTTCATGAGTAGCTTATGTGCTTTAATATTCTTTGAAGACAGCAAGTGGCAGCTCTTCATGAGCAGCTTGTGGGTTATAAGTAACAAGCGACGGTCTCTTCATGAGAAACTTGTGTGTTATTGGTAATTTTGAAAAGAAAACAACAAGCGGCGGTCTCTTCATGAGCAACTTGTGTGTTATTGGTAATTTTGAAAAGAAAACAACAAGCGGCGGTCTCTTCATGAGCAACTTATGTGTTATTGGTAATTTTGAAAAGAAACAACAAGCGGCAGTCTCTTCATGGACAACTTGTATGTTATCAACACTTTTAAAAACAGCAAGCGGCAGTCTCTTCATGGACAACTTGTATGTTATCAATACTTTTTTTGAAAACGGCAAGGGGCAGCTTCTTCATGAGCAGCTTGTACGTTACTATTTTTGGAAGACAACAAGTGGCAGCTTCTTTATGAGCAGCTTGTGGGTTTTTGGCAACAAGTGGCGGACTCTTCATGAGCAGCTTGTGTGCTTTAATATTTTTTGAAGACATTAAGTGGCGGTCTCTTCATGAGCAGCTTGTATGTTATTGACACCTTTGAAAGGAAACAAGTGGCGGATTCTTCATGAGCAGCTTTTGTGCTTTAATATTCTTTGAAGACAGCAAGTGGCGGTCTCTTCATGAGCAGCTTGTATGTTATTGACACCTTTGAAAGGAAGCAAGTGGCGGCCTCTTTATTTGAGCAGCTTGTGTATCCCCAACAATAATGTTTACTCAGCAAATGGCGTCCCTTCGGAAAAGTCCCGTGGAGAAGTTTGTTATTTTATCCTTTTCAAGCGATATCTTGGTCAGAGAAGAAATGTGTTACCGTTCTTGGTAAAATTCAGAAATCAGAGATGTTTATCTCCAGCCACAGTGCTGATGTCAATCATTTTGTTTTCCAGCCACAGTGCTGATGTCAATCATTTTGTTTCCCAGCCACAGTGCTGATGCCAATCATTTTTCAGTCTCAGTACTGATGTCCATCATCTCCTTTTCCAGTCACAGTACTGATGTCAATCATATGCTTTTCCAGTCACAGTACTGATGTAAATCATTACCTTTTCCAGTCTCAATACTGATGTAAATCATTCAAGAGTCTCATTTGAAGTCTATGACTCTGTTTCCCCAATGGAGTTACAACCTTTTCCTCCGTGGGATTACTGTATAATGTACTTGGTTTCTCCAGCATAGTCTGTCTCATATGGCGTCATTCCCCATAAAATTCAAAACATCACATTCATATCATATCGTAAACATGATCGCGGTATCTTAAGGCCAAAAATTGTGTATTCTATATTTAAGTCCCTTCAATCTCGTCGAAATGAAGATCCCAATCTTCATATCTCCAGATAGAAGAAACTTAAATAGGGGCAGCTGTTGTACCCCAATTTTTGACCTAAGATCCCATTTTTATTTTTGCATTTTTTAAGATAAGTCAAGGTCACGAAATACGGTCGGTTTTAACGTCTCACCTTCGAGCTTTGACTATGTGAAGATTGTCAAGTGTTTTGAACATTTTGAGCCTATGTGTCACTAACTTCTAATCGCATACAAAGGTATATGTTCATGTTTTCTTTTGTGTCATGTGCAAAGACAGGTCTGGATCAAGAGCATCAGGTGTCGCGCCTCAATTAAAGTTTTGAGTCTCCCAAGCCAAAAGTACGGTTGATTATGGATTCTCGAAGACTGATTCATCAAGGCACACCGTTGCCCCCTAAATTTCGCCCCTAATATGTTTTAGTCGCACTTTCATATCATATTTTGTTATTTAGTCACAATCATTAGTAAATATCTTCATTCATCATATTTTGCATCATTAGTCGTATTTAAGTTGACCAGAAAAGTCAGTTTAAATCAAAGTTTGCATCGTCTTTTAGTTAAAAAATACCTGACATTTCACTTCATGCATTTTTATCTCTTTACTCGTTTCTTGCATTGCTCCAAGTTGTTTAATAAAAATATTTTGGTTTTATAGACAAACTGTTAAAAGCGATTCTACAATGTACGAAAAATTAGCGAGAAAAATATTTCAAGTTTTCACCTTTTACCGATCATTTTATGAATCTGCATCTCGCATAGATTATGACGGTATACTCGCTTTATTTTTTCTGTACAGTTCGAAGTCTCGTTTTAACCTTAAACGTCTGTTTAGTCTGATATTTTCATTATTATTTTATTTTTGATTTTTGACTTCTTGAGTATTTTTTCTTTAATTTTTGTGACATGTAGATTATTTTAATGTATTCATTTTATTTTTTCGGATAAATTTTCGTCCGGTTTTTGTCATTTTCGGTCATTTTGTGTCTTTATTTTTTATTCATAAAACATTCAAAAAAATCATTTTAAATTGAGTTTTTTTATACTTTCAAGTTTTATTTTTATTTTTGTCATTAAAGGGCTTTTTAGTCACAAAAAATATTAAAATATACCATGCTTGATTTTCATTGGTTGTTGGATGAAATTGAGGATCGATACATAAAAACAAAACCAAAAAAAAAGCAATACACAGTATATGTTTTTCATCCCTCTATTCCTCTCTCCTCACGCATAAGACCTCATCCTCACTTTTCCTCAAACCAACCAGCATCAGCATAAGCCTCCTTCACACACAAAAACCAAAATAACAACACACACATTCCACTAACATCAACACCCTTCACCGACCCTCACTCTCTTCTCTCTTGCGCCGTTTCCGAGACTGAAACACTCTCCTCACTGTTCCACCGTCAAACCTCTTCATGCTAAAACCTTACACCACCATCCATTTCCTCTTCACAGTAACCTCACCTTCCAGCCTTCTGCGATTCACTACTCCATGACATTGTCCTTCATCGAACAACAATTCATCGTGAATGACCCTTCTCTTCAGGTTCCCTCTGTCAACTAGCCGTTAGACCACCATAGTTATTCCTCCCGTAACCTCATGATTCAACTTCTCTCAGAAACCTTCAAAGATACACGCATCACTATCTTCATTTTTTATCTACTACATCATAGACTTTGTGAACAACAACGCTGCCACCGAGCTCGACAGCATCACTGTTGCGTGATTTCCCATTTCCGTTCAACAAAAACAGCAATATCCCGCTCCAACTTCCTTCAACAACAGCCATCACCTTCCACAACCAATGCCCTCCCAGAATCACCCATTCCTTCAGAGGTTGGGAAACCACCTAGGCGGGCCAAACGACCAAAGGAAAGCAAGTTTGTTTCACCCAACAAGAAGACTCCAAAAACTTCTAGAAAGGTCAAAAAGGAGGGTGAAGATTTAAACAAGACAATGTTTGCCAATGACAAAGCACTAGAATGGAAGAATAGTCAGGAAATTATAAACGAAAGTGATGATCTTAACAAGCAGTTAGTGGTCTCAAAGGCTGATTGGAAACCCCAGGACTTGGCACTAAATCAAGTTGCATACGATGATTCAACCATGCCAGCACCAGTGTGCTCTTGTACCGGCGTTCTGAGACAGTGCTACAAATGGGGTAATGGAGGTTGGCAATCTGCTTGTTGTACAACCACTTTATCGGTGTATCCACTTCTAGCAGTGCCCAACAAAAGGCATGCACGAGTAGGCGGTAGGAAAATGAGTGGAAGTGCTTTTAATAAATTGCTTAGCCGGCTTGCAGCAGAGAACCAACAACGACGACTCACAAGTGGAATCGATCTCCATCAAGAAAGCGTCCTGTCGTAGCTGATGCAAACGTTAGCGGTGGAAATGAGCGAAGGATTAAATCACCGGCTAGAAGACCGTCCCCGTCGCCGGAGAAGAAAATGAAGAACGGGTCAAGGTTAGTTCGTGGAAGAGAATATGGTTCCGTTGCAAACCGTAAAGTCAATGCAGGTCCAACCGGTGTTCGCCGTGACTCCGATGAGGGTTCCGGCAGGAGGTCGAGGTCTCCTTCGTGTTCTCGTACAGTTGGAGTGTCGAGTAAAATAGGTGTCGGAGTTGGTCGGAAACAAGCTCCGGCGAAGAAGAGTGAGAGTGAAGAAGGTGAAGAGAAAAACGACATCGTTTCGCAGGTAGAGTCAATTGAAAACCCTCATGTTTCGATGGAGTGTTTTATTTTTCTGTAGAGGTAAAAAAAAAACGCGTTTGTGAAACTTTTTGAATTTTGAGAGGAAGCTCTTTCACGTAGGGTTGCTTTCATTATCAGTAGATGTTTCACTTTTGACTTTTTGTGTTTACTTTCTTTTGAAATGCTAAAATTACCATGCCTTTTGTTTTTTTTGTCTGTTATAAATTTTGAAATGATTTATTTGGTTTGTAAAAAAAAGAAATATAAAAAAATATATTAGTAAATCTTATAATTAATTTAGTTTAATATTAATTTAGAATTCTTTAATTAGTTTAGATTTATTTTATAACTTTAGAATTTTATTTCATTTAGTAAATTTTAGAATTTTATTTGTTTTAGTTTAGTTTAATAACTTTAGAATTTTATTTGATTTTATTTAAGTTAATTTTATAATTTTATTTGTTTAGTTTTAGTTTAATAACTTTAGAATTTTATTTGATTTTATTTAGTTAACTTTAGAATTTTATTTGTTTAGTTTTAGTTTAGTGATTTTAGAATTTTTATTTGATTTAGAATTAGTTTAATAAGTTTATAACTTTTATTTAGTTTAATAACTTTAGAGTTTTTATTTGATTTAAATTTAGTTTAGTAGTTTTAGAATTTTATTTGATTTAGATTTAGTTTAGTAACTTTGGAATTTTCATTTGTTTTAGATTTAATTTAGTAACCTTAGGATTTTAATTAAATCTAGATTTAACTTACTAAATTTTAAAACTTTAGTTTAGTTTAGATCAAATTCAATAATACTAGATTTTTTTTTATAACCTTAGAATTTGTAATTAGTTTAGAATTATTTTAGTAAGTAATTTTTAATTTAGTTCGAATAACTTCTTTAGATAATTAGTTATATTTCTTTTTATTTGTATATTTCTGTCATTTCAATTTCTCGGTGCCTCTTGATCATTAATTTGTTTTTTTGTCAGATTTATTTTCTTGTGAACTTCTGAATGTTTATATTTTGATGTTCATTTTATTTTGCTAACTCCAAGGGAAAGATTTAAATTTGTTGACTTCACGTCATCAGATACATCTCATCCGATCGTGCGAATACCCTTTTTTTTCATTTTTTTTGTTTGTTAACTATTTTGCTAAACTCAAGATAATTTTCCCAAAAGACTCCATTTTCAAACTCACACCTTTTAAATCAAAACTTCGACATTAGGTTATCACATTTTCAAAATCTCGCCAACACCTATTTTTAGCCAAACGAACCATTTTAATCAAACAAACAATTTTAACCAAAAAAACAGATATTTCAAAAGGTTCTTGCGGAGTACCGCAGATGCATTGGGTGCTAATACCTTCCCATTGTATAACCAACCCCCGAACTCTCGATCTCTTTCAAAAACGCATTGTATTTTTATTACTTTTAAGTATTATTTTACATTGCATATTTTAGGGTTTTATTTCGCTCTTTTCCCTTTTCCCTTGGAAATAATAAAGCGCGGTGGCGACTCTTGCTTTTGTGAGTCAAGTTAATTAAATAGCTTGATCTCCGATTTTCACCGCTACAGTATCATACATTTGTATTCACTTCAACAGGGGCAACCCCATTCTCTCTTGTATACGGTATGGAAGTAGTGCCCCCCATTGAAGTCGAGATTCCCTCTTTGTGTGTAATAATGGAAGCCAAGTTGTAAGAAGTTGAATGGGTCCAGAACAGGTTTGACCAATTGAATTTGATAGAAGAGAAAAGAATGGCGGTTTTGTGTCATGGCCAATTATACCAAAAGAGAATGAAGAAAGTTTTTGATAAGAAGGTCAAACCTCGTGAATTCAGAGAAGGAGACCTCGTGCTCAGGAAGATCATGTCTTTTAATGCTGATTCTAGGGCCAAGTGGACTCCCAATTTTGAAGGCCCATATGTTGTCAGGAAAGCCTTCTCTGGTGGTGCACTAATTCTTGAAACAATGGATGGCGAGGAGTTCCCACTTCCTGTAAATGCTGATGCAGTCAAGAAATACTTTGCCTAGAAAAATAAAAGAACAGCTCGCTAAGATGTAAACACAAAAGGGTGTCTTAGGCAAAAAGGAACATCTCGGTAGGCCGAAAACCCGAAAGAGTGGTCTAGGAAAAAATTAGAGACATAAATAGAATAAATTTTCCCGGTAGGTTGAAAACCCTCAAGGGAAACCTAGGAAACAATTAGGGATTTTCTGGCAAGTAACTGCATTAGACAAGACTTGATCAATGGAGCAACAATCTGCTTGGATCTTACTACTCTTCGACCAAAGTTTCGGCTCAGGAACTCAAAGTTGTAGAGAGAATAGCGGTCATTGTAATTCAATTTATCTTTTCCAATATATATTACCATGTTCCAAACTTGGTAATCATCTACGGAGTCTCGCCATTCGCAGACTACCATTCTATTAATAAAGTTTGAGCCTTTTATCCAATTATTTGAAATTCTTATTTTATTCAGCTTATAAATATTTCATTTATTATTGATAGTAATAATCAAAGCAAACAGATTAAATAACAAAATTATTTTTGAAAAGAATTTACAAATTGCTTTAAATTTTGTGATACAAGGAGGATAAGGTTAGTGATTTCAGGGACGGATAAACTCAAAGGTTTGTGTAATATGAGGACTCTATCCTAGTCTCCCAAATGAAGGCTTCACTCATTAGATAAAAGTTTTGTATCTCCGTACATGCTAAGATTGGACTCATTTGCGAAACATCTCCTTTCGATAGTACTAGCATTTGTTTGTTTGCTCGACAGTCAGGCAAGGGTAATGTCTTATTGAAGAAGTGTTGAATTGGTTATCAACTGTTTGGATTTTCTCCCACTGGGTGCTGGATTGGATTTAAAATCCCCATAAGTTTTCTTGCTTTAGTGTTTGACTTCTTGAAAATTCCCCGGATGATGTTGAGACGAGATATTTTTCTGAAATTGTTGCCCCGTGAGGTTTTCTTACTTCCTTCCCAGAGAAGTTGGTGCAATTATACTCTCATTATTGAGAATATATCTTGAAGTATTCTTTGCCAATGAAGTCAGCATGTCATCCCCAACTGATGTCTCAATAAGGTGATATTGTTTTTCCCGAGTGAAGTTAACTGGCAGAAGTATGAACTTCAAACATTTTGTTCCCCCGAAGTTCGTATGGTTTCCGAGTAGAAGCTCGGAGGAAGATGGTACATTGTCGTTTTGTTTGATCTTGTGCCTCCCTATCGAAGTTAATTTATGGAATAAGAATTTGTTTCCTCTGTTGGTGCTTACTATCTTATGGAATTTCTATCATGTTTGTGATTTAGACGGGTATTGATTGCACCCATTTTTGGTCTTGTGTGTATCCCCCGTGTTATATGATTGTTTTTTCAGCATACACATGATAACATGCATGCCTTCATATCATCATCATGCATAATCATTGCTCATTTGATTTTTTTTAATATATTTTTGGTATATTATCCTGTTTTGCAGAGTTATGTTACTCTCTCTCCAATAGAGTGTCAACCTTAAGCAAAAAGTGTATATTCCTTTAACTTCCCCACTGAGTTATCCCTCGTGGAAGAATTTTTGTTCCAGCCTTATTTTCAGCTCGTTTTCTGGACGGAATGGGATTCCCTCTTGAGTTTATTTCTCAGGAGATGTATTTTGGTTGACTACTTCGTTCCGGTTTATTTCTTTTTGGAGTGAATACCCTCAACAACATTATCATTCGGATTTTGGCAAGCTTTGAGCTTTAGTTTGAGAATGTGTATTTATTTTGCAGAAGAAGATTTTATCCCCTCAGCGGGAATTTATTGGCATTTCTCCAAGAGTTCCATCTCTTTCCCCAGGAAGCCATATTTCCTCCTTCAGGAAAGTCTTTATTGCATTTCCTCCTCATAGAAGCAAGTGGCTGGTCTCTTTATTTGAGCAACTTGTACTTCCCCCAGTGGATCTGATAACTCCCAGAAAAGATTCAGATTTTGTTACTCCAATGAATGGTAGCCTTTTCATTATGGAAGGTAGTTAGTTGTTGAGATCTTACTCCAATGGATGGTATCCTTGTCATTATGGAAGGTAGTTTGTTGCTGAGATTTTGGTACTCCAATGAATGGTAGCCTTGTCATTATGGAAGGTAGTTTGTTGTTGAGATTTGTTACTCCAATGAATGGTAGCTTTGTCTTTATGGAAGGTAGTTTGTTGTTGAGATTTTGGTACTCCAATGAATGGTAGCCTTGTCATTATGGAAGGTAGTTTGTTGTTGAGATTTTGGTACTCCAATGAATGGTAGCCTTGTCATTATGGAAGGTAGTTTGTTGTTGAGATCTTACTCCAGTGGATGGTAGCCTTGTCATTATGGAAGGTAGTTTGTTGCTGAGATTTGGTACTCCAATGAATGGTAGCCTTGTCATTATGGAAGGTAGTTTGTTGTTGAGATTTGTTACTCCAATGAATGGTAGCTTTGTCTTTATGGAAGGTAGTTTGTTGTTGAGATCTTTTTCCGGTGAATGGCTGCCTTGCCATTATAGAAGTTCATCGAGATCTTTTTCCGGTGGGTCGGCGTTACCTTTTTGCTATCTCCTCAATGAGTGGATAGTTTGTAGTCATCTGTTAGACACTGTTATCCTTCACTTTCTCTCCTCAATTTTTAAGTTGAAGACGCTTTATCTCCGCTTTGGGCTTTACCCCAAAAGAGTCTAATCTTTTGCTCACCAGTGATTTATTTTCCTGGTTGAGTTTTCCTTTTGAGCCTATTTTTATTTACTATATCTATAGTGGGGTCTTGCATCCTTTTTGTATTTGTTCATTTTCATCCATAATCGTGAGCATTGCATGGCATCTTATGGCCAAAAATAGGGCTTGTTTTATATTTAAGTATCCTCAATCGCGTCGACACGAATATTTTAACCTTCGTATCTCCGGATAGAAGGCACTTATATAACGGCAGCTGTTGTACCCCAATTTTTTCCCCTAAGATCCCTTCATCCTATCATATAAATTCAATCACAACAAGATCACACACTAGGGTTTGCTTTTCCTCCCTATCTTTAGCTTTGCTCTGTG